TCCGCAAAATCAAAGTGACTCGACTTTCCTTTACGAAGGAAAAGTTGGTTGGAAGGAATTAGTGACTTGTATGCGACGAAAAGTTGGGTTTCGAGGAATCTGTTGTTTCATAATTGTTGAGCTGACTTACATTTCGAGTGAAAGTGTTGCGTGAAGAGATTCGAAGGTCGGTTCCACCAGAAGACGACGGCGAACTCCTCTTGACCAGCTGTCGATTAGCTTTACGGGAACATTCATGCGGACGCTGTTTCCGAGGCAATCTTGTTCGATTCCAGTGAAAAGATGCCAAGCTTTCGTGCGTCACATGACGAACATCATCAGAGCAAGGAGGGTATCATCGTCACAACAAAAATCAAGCCGACGAGTCAAGCAAATACGACGGGCAAGTGTGTTTCCACCTTCGAATCTCTTCACGCAACACACTTCCGCTCGAAAGGGAAGTCAGCTCAACAATTAGCGACTTGGCCTGACTGGAAAGCGAAGAGGGATTGCCACAGAGTGGAGTAAAGAGCGTTGGATTGTGCGAAGAAGCCACGATTCGTCACAGCAAGAATCCCTACTTTACGAAATAGTCGACCGCCAGTTTAAGCCAAGAGAAATGGTCGCCAGCTGCGATGCTAGTAGCAATTATTTATGAAAGAGAGAGCAGGAAGAACCACCGAGCAAGATAGGGAGGTTGGAATAGCCTCTAGTCGCACTTGTCATGACAAGAACCTTACATGCACACAATATGGAATAGCACATACCTAAGCATGAATCAACATTAGTTTATTTGTATAGAAGTTGTTTGACCTTTTTTTCGCAACTTGGTCATGTTGGTAGGAAGACTTAGAGGAACCAACCTTGTCCGGAGTCCATTGTCGGCATGATCATTTCCCGAGTAGCACCGTGGATGTGGTACATTCTGCACATTCGCCACACCGTCTTGGTCTTCATACCTTCGATTAGTTTATTTGTTTAAGGAAACAGCTGCCATCACAACCACTTTCTGTTCACAAAGTGACTTCACTCATCCACATGCAAGCAAAGAAAAGTTAGATTGAATACATGAAGACCAAGATGTTGTGGCCTCTGGTATAGCCACAGTGGGTTGACCTCGTTGTCGCAACTTGGTCTTGTTGTCAGGGCGACTATGTAGAACAAACCTAGTCCGAACTCGTCTGCCATAGTAGTTGTCATGAGTCCCAGCATCTGACAGTTGACTTGGTACATTCTCAAGCGTTTCGCCGGCCTCGTAGTCGGCATCGATGACGAGTTCGTAGCGAATGGCAAAACTGACTGATGATGCCGACTACGATGCCGGCGAAACGTCTGAGAATGTATCAAGTCTACGGTCAGATGCTGGGA